GCTCGCTCCTGGGACTGTTTTAGCCAAATGAGCCAGGCCTCGTACTCTTCGACAGCAGCAGCTGAGCGACGGATGGAATCCCGCGGGCCACGAGAGAAGATATTGAGCAGAGCGGCAAATCCATTGTGTCGCAAAGATTCCGAGTTGAGAGCATTCAGCTGCTGTATTGTTTTCCAATACTGGTGTGCAGATAGGAAATCAGACTGGGAACGTGACTGGGACGATGCGGCGGCGAGCATCGAAATCAGGACAGATTCGGTGGCTTCGGGCTCTTGATCTGCATTGACGACAACGGAGCTCGTCCCCGTATCTCCGTGGAGCGAGTCAAACGACGCTTGCGAGTCCTGTGATTCGTGTGTCCGGTGCGTCGCAGACCTGGCTGGTTCTTCCCCGTTTGCATCCACGCGGCGGAGATATGGATTGCGGCTCTGGAGGGGAGAGAATGCTTCTGACGTCCTGCTTGCTTCGGTCGTGACCACTCTGTTGTTCTTGAGACGGTACTTCTTCAGACGGTTCGCTCTGTTGCTGAACGTGTGGGTCACACCGCTTCCAGCGTCGACGGCCTGTGGAATCTCGTAGTCTTCAACCAGTTTTAATATAGAGTTTCGCATGTGGTGGTAGTCGGTGTCCAGTTCGGTCTTGTCCGGTCCCGATTGCTCATCTTCCGATGGGTCGTCGTCCGCCTCATCAGACGACGAAGTGGCGTCTTCTCCAATTTCGTCGTCTTCGTCCGGATCGTATGTCATTTGGGTGGACAAGGTGTTGCCGTCTGGTGAAATAAACAGGACCGCCCAGCGTTCGGCACAGGGGTGGCAAGATCCGAGCACGCGGTCGTGGCCCAGGAAATGGGCCATATCCTGGATGGCCAATCGGAGTCTGTAGCCGTCACTTTCATAGCTGTTACGTCGTCGTTGCTCCGCCCCCGAGAGTGACGGAGGTGGAGGGGACGACCGGTACGACGATGTGCCGGTCTGCTGGCTCTCAAGGAGAGGTTCCACAGACGTCGTCGCGTCGCTGTTTGCTGAAGATACGCTCGTGCTCAAGACCGAGTAGGCGTCGGTGTTGCTTCGCTGCGCACTCACGGGGACGGGTTGGGATAGTACGGAGAAGTTCGAAATCGACCCGGGTCCAGAGCGGAAGCTTCCGGATTGAGCGGATCGGGGTCGACGTTCCGGGAACAGGGCATTGACCATGGTTACCAAATCTGCCGAGCTGACAACGAGGTACGGGTGCACCTCAACAGTCTCTCGCAGGGACGTGATAGAGCGGGCAGGGAGAAGCCGAGCTGCTGGGCGATGGGCCTTTGAGTCGCGGAACCGATTCATGATGCTGTCGATGTGGGCCTTGATAGACGGGGGCGTCGAGACCGGTTTCGTATTTTGCGCATGGCTCAGAGACATGGTCTTCTCGACGACGAGCCTCTGTGCACGCAAAGCAACTTCCTTGAGGATCTTTTGCCGCCCGTACTCGGTGATGTGGTATTCGGCCATGAGGCCGTGCGTTTCAGGGTGAATGATGACACTCAAAAGCCAGGCCCCAAACAGCCACTTGTAAACAAACCAGCTTCGCGTGTTGTCGACGAATTTCGCGTCCAGCTTCGTCAAAATCTGGTTGCCGAGTTCAATTAGGCCCTCCGGGATCCCGGTTGCGTCCTCGTCGTCAATGACGTCAAAAAGGTCGTTAATGGCACGGTCATAAAACTCCTCGGCAGCAATCTGGTCCTTTGTGGTCCACTCGTTCAAGTTGAACCGCGTTCCGTTTTGGTCCTCGGCGCGGTCCAGGAGGAAAGCACCGTCTTCAAGAATCTTCATGAGGAACCATTCCATGTTGGATCGACCTGACCAGTCACGCAGAGAGGCCCAGGCATTGAGGACGGCCACCAAGACAGGCTCACCAGCTGCTCCCTTTTCCGAGATGAGCCGAGCGCATGCTGTTGCCCAAATATCAGTTCTTCGCCTGTCTTCGGCACTGTCGGGTCCAGCTGAATTGGCAAAACAGGTATGGATCAGAGCGGACAGCGGGTCGTGGCGTTGAAATGACAAAAGCTTTTGCACCGGGTTCGCGTCCTTTCCAGGGCCACCGAGCGACGTATTGATCGGAGGTGTGCGTCCTGATGGCGCTCCGCTGCGCGTTGATGGCGGCCGGCTGTGAAAGGGGAGAACCGAGTCAATCGGCTCCATGCCCTGGTAGAAGGATGTTAGCGCACTCAACTCGGCCGTGCCCAAGGAGCACAACCGGGTAGCCAGAAAATCTGGGTTGTTCCTGATGTTGGTCAAAAACGATATGAAAATATCCCGGGCTTCGGTTGAAATGTCATTCAAGAACGGAGCGGTAGATATGGTGCCAGGGGAAGGTGCCGCTCCGTTGAGCGAGCCAGCATCCACGGCCGTGTCCAAGCTCGCGGTTGAGGCCGGCGATCGCAGGGCGTCCAGCTCCGGTTCGAAGAGAGCATACTTTCGCAGCTCGTCGCAGCTTTTCCGTACGTTGTGGACGGCGTTGTACAGATTCGCGAAACCGGTGCGGTCGTCGCTGCGAAAGCACTCTGTCAAGTTACGGTGCGCCATGTCGCCGCATCGCACCAGGCGAGCAGTCAGGGCAGTGGCGATAAGGTTCAGCTGCAGCCGAGTCCTTGTCTGTGTCCGCTTTCGCTCCTGGTATTTGGATAATCTCACCAAGTGAGCCAGTTCGCTTAGCGACGTGCCTTCCGACTCGGCGGCAGCACGTCCGCCTGGGTTGACGGACGCATCCTGCAAAAGTGGTTTGGCTGTGAAATGATACTTTATTCCAGAGATGCCCGCTGGACTGGCGGGAGGGCTGGCATTTGAGGTAGAGTGCGAAGAGGCTTTCTTGTTAGAAATTTGGCCGTGTGAGGATGTAGGTAGCTCATGCATGGATGGCGGCATTGGCCAGTGGCTCTGCACGACGGACGGTCTGTGGGGAGCTGACGAAGAGTACCCAGGCACGGTGCCAGTGTCGGAGTGTCCGACGAGGGGAGAGCCCAACATCGGCAGAGATGCGCCTTCGGTGGAGGAAATAGACGATATGGTCGAGATCATGGAGGCCGTTGTGGCGGTTGCTGTCACAGTAGCAGTGGTAGCTGCAGCGGCGGTTGTCTTGCTGGAGATCATCAAGTTGGTCAATGTCGGCGGCACGGTCAGCGGACCGGCTGATGTCCTTCGCGAGGCGCCGTCGCTACGACGATTTGAGTACGACATGTTGCCTTCGGCAAGGCGCGCAAGACTTCGGAAAGCGGTCGCGGGCGGGGGAAGACGCGGCTGATCGACATTCTTCTCCTGGCGTTCAAGGAGCGGCGGTGTCGGGGATCTCGCCAAGCCATGCGGCTTAGAGGTCGGAAGAGGAGCTAAACGGACAGTTAGCAGCACGGTACAAAATGTCACGACAAACGTGTGACCAGAGGATACGGGACGAAGCGACATACAGGACAGGTCTTTGTTCACAGGTGACGAGAGAGACCGTTGCAAAGGGACCATAACGGTACGAACGCGGCGGAGGGAGGTTGGGTGGACGTTGGACGTTGTCGAGTAAAAGACAGTCGTATCAGTAGAAAGGAAAAACTGCTCCGATGGTGCGCCTCCAGGCGTTTCGCCGTGCGCCAAAGCCGAGGCGAGCGGCAAGCAACGGCAGTACGCAACGCCGCAGCAATCAACGAGGCGGGTGCGACGGGGGACAAGAAAGAAAAGCGAGGGGTGGTGAGAGAGCCGTGTATACGTATGCCGTGATCCGTAAAAGAGTCTGTATGCGTGTGTTGTCCCGATTACAAGACGCAGGTGATGGCAAGGTTAGTGGTCGTGGCGCCACATACGTGCCAGCCCACTTGGCGATTATGGTGCGGAGGCTGATGAAATGCGGCGAGTTTACACGTAACGCCCGTAGGACACGCGCGAATGCAGATGAGGGCAGCCGCAGCGAAAGGGTGGTCAGGAGAAAACAACGAGAGAAGAAAAGGGGGAGGAAGAAAGGAAGAAGGGAAGCAAGCGATGACGACGGAGGGTGACAGATCCAGAGATGCAAATGGCCAACGAGGGAAGCGGCGAACGGCGATTCACTTTTTCGTTGCTGCCCCAGCCAAGGCAGGAGGGGAACTGCGGCTGCAGGATGCGTGAGTGATGCGTTGTACCTTCCCTGCCAGGTGCTGTGCTGTGCATGCAGCTGCGTACATGCGTGCGTGCAGCCAGAAGGAGCGACCCAGGGGCCCTAGCCGGATGAGCAGACCGCAAGCTGGCCGACCTATCCCAGGCTGGCCTGGCCTGGCTGGCCTAGCTTAACCGAGCTGGGGACCTCACGCCAACCATTTTACCCCACGGATCAGGATAGCGTCGCCAACGCGGCGAGCCCACACTTCGCGCTACACAGCTGTCAGCGTACGCGGCGTCAGGGCAAACTACGCCAGGGAGGGCCGGCCTGGGACTTTGTGAGCCGATGAAGCGGGCCAGCCCACAAGCGTGGAAAGGTAGGCGCCAGCGGTCAAATGTAGAAAGAACCACGCCGCTCTTTCCCTGATACGACGTTCACCCGGAACGTGCGCATTGGAACACGACGACGCGGCAACAATCAGGACACAAGGCGATGTCTCTTATTGAGTGCAACGTGGGACCGGTCAGGTGGCCCACGACACCCTTTGCCACGGTTATTTTCGTGCAAGTGTATTGTCTGTGTTCTGGCGTAATGCGTTGCGGGCGTGTTGCCCTGCGTGTCGGTGCTTCTTTCCGCTTGTGCGCCTCGCTCTTTCTGTTCCGGCTTAAGAGGGCACATAGCATCCCATCGTGCCTTCCGCTCTTCTTTGACCTACTCGCCTGCCATACGCATCCGTAATGGACGCAGCGGAGCCTTGCTGAATCAGCTTTTATCACTGAAAAGGGGAAAAGCTTATGCTGCCAGAAAGGCACAAAACAAGACGGAGGTTGCTATATTCAACAAGTAGGTCCTCGCTCGCCATTCTTTTACTACATCAACAGCTCTGCCCGGACATGGTCAAGAAGTCAAGAAGGCATCGGCTCGCTGGTCTTGAGAGAGAGCGACTAAAGAACCAAAAAACAGCCGGCCTCAGCAACAGCAACAAAAACTGCAATCCAAACATCACGACCACCTGCCACGGTCTTGTTGCCGTGCGGCCGGAGGCGCTCACCCGCTCCGGCAAACTCATTCTCGAGATGCGCATGTGCTTGTCCATCTTCTTAGTACCAGCTTTCCTCTTTGATTTTGAGACACCTGTGCCTTGACGGGGCTTTGGTGTTGTCTGCATCGGTTGGTTTCCTTGGGATATTGCTTTGGTTTCTTCTTGGATTTTTCTTTGGACTTTTCTTTCATGTTTTTGGCCGTTTCTTTGGCTTTTCTTTCGGTTTCTCCCCTGGCCATCGCCCTGGATTTATTTGGGGGCTCAACTTTGGTCGTTTCCGTGATGGTTTTCTCATTCGTTTTGATGTTTTTCTTGGCTTCTTTCTTGGTCTCATTCTTGATCTCTTTCTTGGCCTTCGTCGTTGGTGCTGTCATCGTTGTCGTTTGGGATTTCATCTTTGATTTTGCGCCATCTTCATCTTCGACATCCGTCAAGGCCGTTGGCGCTGCCTTCACCCGTTGCTTTTCGTCCGTCGCTTTCTTCTTTCCCTCCGTCTTGCTCCTGTTACTCGTTGACGCCGTATTTGTTGCCATCCTCGTCTCTCCCCAGGTCGCTGCTGTGCTTGCAGCTGTGTCTCGAGGCAATATTGCTTCCAAAGCCACCATATCGTTGGTTCCGTTCAGGATCAAGCGCAGCCTTTCTTCAATTCGTGTAACGGTGGCCTTTCTTGATCGCCGCAGCCATTGTGTCACTCCGTCGACGTTTTGGACATGGTTCTTCCGCCAGATGTCACACTTGTCGATTGGCCATAACTGGTACCGGAAGTCCACAGCTTCTGGAACCGTAGGGTGAATAGCAATGATTTTTGCAACGGCGCGGCCGCCAACTATGCCAGTCAATATTGGCAGTTCGACCAGTTGCATGTTCGTTCCGCCATTTGGGTTAAATCGCTGCGGAGGCGGTGGGCAGATGACTGTCACGACATGACTGGTGCTCGCAATATACCACGCAAATTCGGCTGACGCGCCTCTCATGTATTTGGTCATCCCATTCTTCCCGAGGCGCTTTCGCAATGCGTCGCGCGTTCGTAACGGCCCCATGGCTGTCGACAGCGTCTGCATGCCCCTGTGGTCCGCCCATTTCTGTGCCGCCTCACAAGTGATTCCGGTCCACATGACTTGCTTGTTTGGCTCGCATGATGAGTCGAACTCTTGATCCAGCTTCACAACCTCGCCATCGGTCAAGAACTGACGGATAAACTCTGCAGCCTCAGGGGGCCGGGCAGCGGTCGGACGAAGCGGCGCAGTGTCAAGCACTATTACAAGAGCATCGAAGTCGTCCATGTGTCAAGCAACAACTATGCAGCTGTGGAACGTGATTTGTGCAAGGTTCACCGGGAGGATAGAGATGTGACATGATCTGAACATGAATGTCGCCCAAGGGCGTCAAAGTTTCGAGGTGGCATTAAATGATGCGGAGGGCCTTTTATGGCCTGATACATGCGGTATGTCTTGGGACCTTCTGCACAGGACGTACGTCGTTCTGTGTATCTACATTCTTTGTCTCTCGACGGCGATGCTGCGCCTTGAGTAAGCGTCGATGTTTAGGCACACTTTGTCCGGCCAATCAGTTGGATAACAGCACCCTGGGGCTCTTTTTTTCATTGTTCCAACCCATTTTGACTCTTTATATTGCAGCCCAGGATTGCAGACGAAGGGGTTCGTGGTCTTTGTCTGGGATCGACGGACCTCTTCTCGCACGTCGGCGATCAAATCAGTCTCGTCCTCTGGCATCGGCCCTGAAACCAGCGAAATATCAGCCACTGAAAACGAGTACCCTCTTTCTCGGTGGCATCTCGCGCCAATCGCTCAACTCGTCGGTCCAGAACACGTTTACCACCATTTAGCATTGTCATGTCATACCACAAGCATTCTCGTCCGTCCGATCCAAAAACGAGACACCCCCTCTTCTTTCATCTTGGACCCCATCTCGCCCCGCCTCCAATACCCTTCTCAGCCTGCAGCCAGCCAATCCCGGAGCTCCACGCTTCTCCCAGGCTGCATCTACCGGTTTTCCTTTGTTTAACATCTGCCAACACATAGCCTCGACAAGGGCCTCCAGCTCGGCCTCATGTTAGGTTGTCTACGAAAACCCCTTGGCCGTCCCAGGCTGTCGGCCAACATATACGACATCCTATGGTCCCAAATCGACAACCTACAAAGTAGTTTCCTACAGTCCAAGCCCAGGAAACAAAATCCCATTGAATAGACATAAAAATAAAGTAAAATAAAATAAATGAACATTTAGAACTAAAACGATGGGGCAGAAGAGCTGAAAAAGTGTGCGCGGGCGTATCAAAGTGATCGGTGAGTGGATGTCGAGGGAATGTGTGCCGACCATCCAGCCAGCTGTGCTCTCTGACCGCTTTTCTTCGCGTGGACGGGGCCTGCCACATGGTCTTGTGGTCTTCGTGTATGCACGATGCCGTCCGTTGGTTGCGTCCAGCAGTGGCAAACATGTTGCGTCCTCTCAAAGTGCTCCTTTCCAACACATTTTTGTCACGTAGGCCACTTGGTACACTCGACATCGGTACACTTGGACCCTTTTCTCACCCCTCCAACCACAGCCCAGCAATACAGATGTGATGTCGCAAGCCGCTGTCCGTGTTTTGCATCTCATCGGTCGGCTCTCGCCGCACTTGGGAGGGCGGGCGGGAAAGGGTCATTAAAAAATGTAAAAAAGCAACTGAGCCCTCTTATAGGAGCAAGCAACGGGATGGGAGCCAAGACACGATGCAGCCGATCAATCCATTGGCTCTGCGACTCGGCCTGTATCACGAATCATGATACGGGAATGGTTATGTCGCTGATGAGAGGTCGCAGGAGGAACGCCCTGCTTTTACCCCTACAAAGACAATTCCAGTGCTGGAGGCGGAACACATGACCAAGTACATCCCGACGGCTTTTGTCTGGACATGTACGTCTCCAGCCGTGCAACCCTTTCATGTACATGGTTTCGAGAACGCTTACGTCTACCTCTCCTAGCCAGATAGGACTGTGCGTGCAGCAATCACTTGTGCACATACACGCACACACGCCCGCTGGGTCGCGAAAGAGTGTGAACGATGCAATTATTCGACAAACTACCCATACCCACAGTCCCATACGAGCCAACGTATGTATGCAAGCTCCGTCCTCCCACCATCAGCAGTGCCGTCATGTACGCATCTCATTCGCCTACACCCTGTCGCCGTTCGTACCAATAGGCAGGCGTGGAAGGCCCGTAATAGAAACCCTGTTCATATAGCAGGTTGTATATATGCGAGCTCCAAGTTTCGTTCGAGTGACATGCATATCGTATGAGACAAGGCATCCAGATATTCCAGCCAGTAAAGTAACACAGATGTTGGTTGGCAAAAGCGACTGAATGCAACTTGATGACATTGGCAGATCTCAAATGAAATATCATATACTCTGACACGTAACAATTTTATTTGTTCAACGAAAACATGGAATTAAAATAAATTCAAGCTGTAAAAAGACGTGATATATCCCGATTTTAAAAAGTAAAATCATAATGTAAAATAATGCTCAGCATGGAGGAACAAAACATAAAATTTAAAAAACCATGCTTTTGAATTTTATCGAGCAATACGCCGTGACTTCTGACAAAGACGGGCACACAACATGGCCATGTGAACCTGCCCATGAAACGTGCCTCGTACAACTATATACACTTGGTGTAAGGCCGTGACAAGAAATAGGAGCAAAAAATATACAGGGCAAAAGAACAAAAGGCAAAAAACTCGGCCATGTGGGATATCCGTCTTTCTTCGAGCTGGTATCTCTTTCAAATTTTCTGCACGCCCGTAAATCATATCATACACATCCCCAAACAAGGCAAAGGCAGAAATAACATAAAGAAAACCAAAGGGCATTAGCCTAGGCCTAGAGTCCCTTCACGTCGGTCATATCTGTATCTGTTGTGAGAACAGAACAGAGAAATGCAGAGGGTAGTCGCTGGAAACAAGAGAAAAACGTCACAAGATCTAAAGGTCCAGTAGACGGAGCGGGATTCAAGGCTCCTTGCCGAACCGCACGTCAAAGCCCTTGAGCACGCTCATGATGCTGGCGGCCTCGACCTCCATGGGGTGCCGCTGGGCGGGCGCGTTGGTGTCGTGCCGTGGCGCGGCCCGCAGCTTGGGCAGCCACGTGCTGATCTCGTCCGTGGCTTCGTCAAAGTGTCGGTGGCTTGACAGCGTCTTGTAGGCGTCGGCACACGACAGGCTAATGCTCGTCTTGACCGCGTCAGCGGCCAATGCGTTGCCGCTGGGTCCCACGACGGTGGACGTGGATGTGGAGGAGGACGCGCCGCCGGGGGCCGCTGGTGCGCCCTTTTTGTCCTTGCAGCAGCCACTGCCGCCGCCGCCGCCACCGCTGCCACAGCATCCATCTCCAGCACCGGCACTGGCACCCTGGCGCTCAAAGTTGGCGGCCAGAGACCGACAGAAGAGGCCCGAGACCGGGTCAGACAAGCACTGGGCGCACGTACCAGGGCCGGCAGGTCCACACTTGGAACGAGTCGTGTCAGAGGACGACGCAGCTAGCGTGGGAGGCACAAGCTTGCTCTCCTGCTGCTTTTGTTGTAGTTGCTGCTGCTGCTGCCGTCTGAAAGCGGCCATGCTCGACAGCTTGATGGCGCCCGTAGGCGTCACTTCCAGCGGCATGGACATGGGCGGCATGTCGTTCTCTGATGGGGGTGGGGTCTTCTGCTGGGCCACGACCGTGCCGGCCGAGATGGCGAGGCTGCCCGTCATCGTGACGCCCGGCATGCTGTCAGCGCAAACACAGTATGTGCCGTCCGAGCAGAAGCCACAGCGCTCTTTGAGAGGAATCTCAAAGCGCGGTGCGGCTTGCGGGTTCTGTTGTTGCTGCTGTTGCTGCTGTTGATGCAGCTGCGGCTGCGGTAGGTGGCGGGGCTGCATAGACGGCAGAGGCGTGCGGACGGGGGCATCGGCGCCGGCGGCCTTGGAACGGGGGAACATGTGGGTAAAGTCGGTCTCGGTATTCGTGTCGACGTCGCTGAAGTGGCGCGCACGCTTTTCTTCGGGTGCCATTGGTGTCGGCGAAGAGCTCGAGTGGGACCTTTTGAGCTCCGACGAGATATTGCTGAAGCCAACCCCCGTCAATGCGTTGATGCTCTCCTCGAGGCAGGCACACTTGGTGCCAAGCGTGCACTTGCCACAGTCCATCGAGACAGTGGCAGCCATAACTTCGTCGGCACAAGCGCACGAGCCGTTCACGTTGCAGTTGCCGCAGGTCAGCTGCTCGTCGTCAGGTGGCGAGATGATTTGAGAGATGGAAAAGGGTTGGGCGGAGACACGGCGACCGGAAACGGATGAGATGGAGCTGCATGTGCTGCCACGCTGCTGATCGTGGTGGAGCGGTTTGTGCGGTGCGGGCGAGTGGATGTGGTTTACGGATTGCTGGTGTTGTTGCTGCTGCTGCAGCTGCTGTGGGTGGTGTTGTGTCTTTTGTGGCTGGATGGAGTTGGCTCGTTGCATGCTGCTGCTCCGCGCCGACGAATGTGATGCCTGGCGCTCTTTGTTGGCCCACGCTTGGTTGGTGGCCTTTTCCTTCTCGAGCAGGTTCTCCAGTATCTGGCACCGGCTGCGGAGGACCTGGATCTCGGATTCGAGTGTCCGGATCTTGTTTTGGCTTTCTAGTTCGGCACGGTCGTGTTCGTTCTTCTGCTCCTCCAAGAGGTCCTCGAGCTCACCCACACGAGCTGCTCTCCGCTCACGGAAGGCACGCTGTGCGGCGCGGTTCTGGGCTTTCCGCTTCGTCGGCGGCGTGTCTGTGGCCGGCTTGCGGCCCGGCTTGGGACGCGGCGGGATCACCCACTGCTTGCTGGTGATGGATATGGGTGGCTTGCCGGCGATCGCTGCCGGACTCTGTACTGGGGCTGGCGACTGGGGTGCCGGAGATGCAGCGGAAGCTGTGGGAATAGCATTGCCAGTGGGCGCGTTGGCGGCAATCTGCATCTGTAGTGGCCGCACGGCAGCGGCTGGTGTCGGAGCCACGGGCTTGATGGCCAGCTGTGGCTTGGGGGCCACAGACGTACTAGATGAGGACGACGTGGAGGTTGCTGTGCTGGGCTTGGGAGAGTCGTGCGACGACATGGGCGAGGCGGGCGAAATCGGCGTGCTGCCGTTGCTGCCGCTGCCGCCTATGCTGCTGCTTCTGCCGCTGTAGGCCGAGGCGAGCGGCGCCGGTGAAAAGGCCGCAGACGGTGGCGACTGTACTGCGAGAGGCGGGTTATGTGACGACGGCGCCATGACAGCAAACATCTCAAACTGAGAAGCGCTGCGGCGTCGTGGTCATGCACAAGGCCGATCGTTGCGATGACGGACCAACGGATCTAGGATGAGCGGGATCTCGGGACCGCGATCTGTGGTGTGATGGGTGACGAGGTGAGGTTCTATGGGATCTGAGAAGCAGTAAGCTGAACCTGTGGCGATTGTGGTGTTGTCGTGAATAACCGATATGCTGCGTTTGAATGTTTCGAAGCAAGATGTGGTCATACGATGGGCGAGGCACGATAATGCGAGGAAATCCGAATTCAGTGTGCGGCGATGACCGGAAGGGTGTTATTAATTAGCACGTTTTTTATCCCTCTTTCATGAGCCGGCTGGATGGGTGGCCGGAATCGCCCTTGGCTGTTAGGGCGCAGAGTTGCCGAATTGGTGCGCTTAGTTTTGGCGCTGCCAGGAAAAAGATCGGTCGCTCGTGCGCTCTGGCGTATTAGCCCCACCAAGGTCGTGTAGCGGAATTCTAGAGATGCACGTTTCACTCTCCGGGTAGCTTGCGCATTTGCAGCTGCTGTTTGCCCCTCGTGGGTTGGGAGCTCAGGCCGTGGCAATTGATGGGGTTCAACGATGTGGTGAGAGGATGCAGAGTAGAAAATGTGAAAAAGGAGATTGGATGTAGGGGAAAGAAAAGGGGGCAGTCAAGACGAAGAGGAAAGAACAACGGCAGATGATAAAGAACAGGAAGGAGCTCACGCTGTGGAAAGGAGCCAAAAACAGCTCGCATTCGTGCGGAAGGAGCCACCTGGAGAGGCCTGGGTAGAAGGTAGTGCAAATTTGCGGTGGCGGACTCGAACAGCGACCCCACCACACCGTATTTAGAGCAGTCCGTTTGTTGCCTCTGTGGATTGCCTGATGAAAGGAAGTGAAAGCTGATCATCCAATGCGACTCTGCACCGATAGTCATACGAGTCATACAATGTAGTTGGAGACGACTGGCACACGACAGAAAAGAAGCAGCCAAAATCACGCGGTGGCCTGGCAAGGAAGGACCTGCTCCCAACTGTACGTTTTACTCTTCCCTCGTTCCTTCCGCTCACGAGAGTCAGGAGCAGCCTTCTCCAGTTAGGGCCGACCGAACGCTCTTTCCCTCATCTGCCCGTCCATTTTCCTTGGGCGTTCTTGCGTTCTGTCCTCGTCATAATTTATGGGCCGCGTGTGGTGGAGTGGAGTCTCTCAATGTCCGGCTAACACGCTGATTTGCTAGCTCGGCTGATGGCGACGACGAAGAAGCGAGGGAAACGACACACGAAGAAAATTCAAAGGAAAGTGGGGCCACTGATGCGATTGATAAGATAATTTTCACTAGGCTTCTTGGCGCGCGCTCTTTTTCGGTCTCTCACTCTTATCCCCCCTTTGCATCGACACGAAATCGCGCCATTTGCGCCTCTCGGAAGAGGGGTTTTCCTTTAAACAAACGCATTCCAGGAACATTCGTTTCCTATTTATTATCTTACTCCCCACTCTACAGGAAGATGCATCAGTATGTCATGATGGGATACTCTAGAGGCCACAGCCTGGATTCTATCTGGCCCAATGCAGCGTCAGCCGAATTGGTTGCTTGTATGCCCTGCGAGAAATCCGTACAGCCATGGCTCATGGGACTATGTTGCTGCGCTTCAGGAGGTTCAGACTGTAGCGCAAAAGAGGTACAGAGGTACAACAAGGCACAGACCAGGCAGTGGTGCCAAGCGGCGTCGGTCTAGACGACAACGTCGCATAAGTGCCTCGACTCGTTCCGCCGAGAGACGAGGAGCGACTTCGGACGCATCGGTCTGGCATGGTGTGGTATTTGCTGCGTTGCAAGTTTAACCGTATGAACTGCTGGATAAACCTGCCTGCCGAGCCAAAGGGCCGTTGGGATTGCACTCCCTTCTGCGGGCGTGTAGGTGAGTGGGCATGTGGGGGTTGACGACTGCTCAGAGTACGGACCGAGCAAATTGTCCCGTTTATCCAACAAATGCAGCGGCAGGAAATACGGCACCAGGTTCGGAGTCCGTTGGGAGCTTGGTTCGAGAGAAGCAAAATTCATTGTATGATACACAGAATAGAAAAGCAGAGGATCTATTCATGTCGTTCGTGCAATGAGTTAGAGACGAATCTGGTTTAAAATAGACGAACTCTAGTTGTCTTCGAAAATTATGTGGTCAAGAGCTGGAAACGGCCACGGCTTGAAATACATTGAGAAAACCCAAAACAAAATGCAATCTACATAGACGCATGCCGGATCCTGAGAGTGGGTAGCCAAGAGCGAGCAGGCGGTGCACGGGAGATGTTGATTTTTTATCAGATCAAAGCACACATCCATGCAAGATTATCAATCTCATCGGAGGAGACAAAGGACGGCCATTCGTGGGCGGTCGGCGCCGGAAAAAAAAACCGGGATGTGGATAAAAAGAGGAAAAGAAAGAAAAGGCGATAATAGAGCGAAAGAACGAATCAGGAGGTAAAAAGGCCACGACAAAGTGCACGAAAGCCGAGAAATGCCCACGTTCTGTGCCGACAAGATTCGTCTCACCCCACAGATGCCAATTTGGTGTGTTCAGCACAGTCTCCAGAGGCAGTTCAGGCAATACAGGGCGCCAACATGCTCGTGGTAGCGCCTTGTGTGCCCTGTCTCACACGTTCACCGCCCCCCACGTCTAACTTATCTTTGGACAATCTATGGCGAATGGACAGCAATAGTAAGAAGTAATACACCAATTTGCGAGAGATGCACGAATTTGCAGACCTGGATCGAGGCCATGAACTGAAAGTACACAAACCCAGCCAAGAACGAAGGACTTACCGCTCTGTTGTTTGGCAGGGCGAAGAACCATTAGTGAAGGAGGAATTATGCCTCTTCCAAAATACTTTCGGGCACATTTGCCGGCCGGGGCGGCATTTTCGAATGTTGGATTGAAATAGCAGAAGAAGCTTGAGAAAAGGAATTCCACTGAACTGTCAGATCAAATGAGCCCAAAAGTGGTGATCGACTATGTTAAACTTTACGCGAGGATGTACGATTTACACGAACTGTAATTCCACTGAGGAACGAGATGCACGTGATATTATGTCAGCACTGAAGGCCACGGTGTACAGCCAACCCACGAGGGGCATCAAGCTCCATCAACACGACGCATTTGGCGAGAGAGCCATCCATCGGAACCTACTTAGCCGACACGACGTGCTCAGACCCAGGGCCTTCTCTTGTACACAACACACACAGAGATGGAGTCCTCACAACTGAGCTCGGCCCGCGGCCGGCCACCACCATCCCCCTACAGCAGCTACGGCGGCTTCCAGCTTCCTTCATCCTCTTCCTCAGATAGCGGCGCCGGCCCCGGCGGTAGTGGGGGGGCCTATCGCAACAACGGTTTGGGCATTGGTGTTGGTGTCGGTGACGGCGACGACGACTTTGGCGACGACGACGACCTCGACCTGCCCTTCCCCACGGCGCTCTCGCGCAAGGACTTTTTGACGCCCGCGTTCGACGCCACGGCCTACCTCTCCTCCCTCTTCCGGTCGGGCGACGACGGCACGTCGGCCCAGCTGCGCCACCAGACGCTCGAAGACCTGCGGGCCGAACTGCGCGAGCGCAGCAGCGCAATCAGTGCGGAGCTGCTCGAGCTGGTGAATGCCAACTACACGAGCTTCCTGGGGCTGGGCGACGAGCTCAAAGGCGGCGACGAGAAGGTCGAGGACGTGCGGGTGGCCCTGTTTGGATTCCGACGGTCCGTCGAGGACGTGCAGGCGCGCGTACGTGAGCGGCGCGTGGCCGTGGGCGCTGCGTGCCAGGAGCTGGGCCAGGTGCGGACCGCCATCGACACGGGGCGGCGGCTGCTGGAGCTCGACGAGCGGGTAGCCCAGCTGGAAGACCGGCTGTCGATTGGCGAGAACGGCGCACACCCGACGGCCGAAACACAAAACGACGACGGCCTCGACTTTGCAGACATGGACGACGACGACGAAGAAGACGAAGACGAGGAAGAGGAGGAGAAAGAGGCAGGGGCGGGGGCGGGGGCGGGGGGGTTCGGGGGACGGCAAACGAAATTGCAGACGACGAAATAACGCCCGATTTTGTGGCCAGCGGGCCGAGGAAACTGGGCGCGCTGGCACGCGACCTGCTGCTGGCCACACGGCTGGCCGACAGCCTGGGACACCAGCTGCCGTTTGTCAAGAAGATGGACGAGCGGCTGGACAAGTGCGAGAGCACGCTGATACTGGATCTCAATGCGGCCGTCAAGGAGGCACGGTCGATTTCGAGGAGCAAGAACAAGGCAGCACAAGCCCGGTTGCTGAAACTTCTGGCCATCTACCGGGTGCTGGACCGGGAAGACGAGGCTGTGCGTGTTTTGAGGGAGAGGTAGCGCATCCGTTTTTCGACCACGTCACGGCATTCACTGCAAGCCAAAAGGCGAATATAATGCATCTATAGAGTAATGAAACGCAGTCTTTATGTCTCGTCTGTGTGTGTGTTTTGTGCTTTTGTAAAGAATGCTACGGTGGTGATATACAGGTAAATCCAAATATGCCCGAGCCCCAAATTGGATATATCATACAACGGTTTTATGTCTTCGTCCTCGCTTCGCTCGCGTTTCCTTCATTTTATTTGTCCTCGCCTCGCTCGCGTTTTCTCGTTTTGCTTGTCCTCGCTTCGCTCGCAGGTTCCTACATCACCGTCGACAGCATTTCCGGCGTGACCTTGTCGTCGGTCGAGTTGAACGAGCCATCCAAGCTGAAGCCGGGACCGTTGGTCGTGCTCAGCACCACCTCGTCGACCACCTTGACCGTGTTGCGCTCCACCGCGCGCATGTCCGCCCGCAGCTGCGCCATCAGCGCCTTGATGTTCTCGGCCACCATCTGCGGCGTGAAGCTGAGCTGGCCAATGGCCAGGCGCACCACGCCCTGCCGCTCGCGGTAGTTGGCCGTGCCGGCAATGTCGCGCATCTGCGCGCGCACGTCGTTGGTCACCGTCTTGGTCTTGGTGCTGGGCATGAGGCCGCGCGGGCCCAGCACGGGGCCCAGCCCGGCCTTCATCAGCGCGGGCACCGAGTCGATGTGGCACAACAGCCGGTTGAAGTTGATGTCGCCGGCCTTGATGGCGGCAAACAGCGTCTCCTCGCCCACGGCCACGGCGCCGTCTTGGCGCGCGTCGGCGGCCACCTTGCTGCCCTCTTTGCACACGACGGCAATGCGGAAGTCGGAGCTTGTCGGGAACGGCAGCCGGATGCGGTCGCGCAGCACGGCGCCGTCCTTGTTGGTCTGCAGCTTGACGGCAAGGTCATAGCAGATGCGCAGCGGCGGGCGGCCGACCTCGACGGCGCGCAGGTAGCGCATGGCGTCGCACAGTGAGAACCTTTCGAGCTTGGACTTGTCGTGGACCCGGTACGCCTTGAACTTGGCCTTCTTGTCCCGCTTCTTGGACTGAGAGGCCTGCCGTGTCTGTTGTTGCTGCTGGAGACGGCCAATGGCCATGGCTGGGACAAGGAACTGCGGAATCGACGCCATCTGCGGCCGTGGCCGTGCTGTTGTCGACAAGGCTGTGCCCGCCATGGCGGCGAGGCATTGGCGTTGTGAGGCCATTGTGAGGGGGGAACTGTGTGTGGTCGTGTGCGTCGAGACGTTGTCGTGAAGAGAGGTCGCGCGATCGTCTCGTTTTGGGGGTCAATTGGAGCTTCAAAATTTACCGTACAAGCCCTATAGGCCTTGCAAATGAGTTGGTGCCTCGGATTTAAGGCGGAAGGCTGTGGTGGTCAGTTAGCCCAAAATAATTTTCCCACCCGATAAGATAAGCCGCCCCCAGTCGCCTCCTCCAGCGCCTAAACACCCCACTAACCAACAGGCAGGTCAGGCACTTTTCAGGCTACCCCCAGACGTGTATCAACCCCGCGATACCAGATCGACAGGCGACGACGTAAAAAAAAGGCTTCACTCCCCCCCCAAAACAGCACGCGACGCGTCCCTCGACATTCGAGCCACATTCCCCCCCCTCCCCCCCAACCACCTCCACAATGAAGACCGACGACCTCAAGGCCCTGCCGCCCAAGCTCGCAGGCGACTTCCGCTCCATCGAGCCGTCCCTGGCCGCGCTCGACAAGCACCTGACCCTGCGCTCGTACCTCGACGGCTACACCCTGAGCGATGTCGACAGCAAGATCTGGGTCGCCCTGGCGGAGAACCGCGCGGCCGTGTCGTTTGTGCGCCGCGGCACGCTCGTCAACCTCAAGCGCTGGTTCCTCTTTGTCGAGGACCGCCACCCGGAGATCCAGGACAGCGTCAAGGCGGCCAGCGCGGCCCTCAAGGCCAAAGTGGCGGCGGCCAGCCGCGCCGGCGGCAGCTACAACATGTCGCTCAAGGACGCCGACAAGGGCGTGGTGACGCGCTTCCTGCCGGAGCCGAGCGGCTACCTGCACATTGGCCACGCCAAGGCCGCGCTGCTGAGCGACTACTTTGCGCGCCAGTACAAGGGCACGCTCAAGCTGCGCCTCGACGACACCAACCCATCCAAGGAGAAGGAGGAGTTCCAGGACGCCATCATCGAGGACCTTCGCCTCATGGGCATCCGGCCCGACACCCTGTCGTACACGTCCGACTACTTCGACTACCTGTACGCCATGGCCCTGCGCCTCATCCAGGAGGGCCACGCGTACGCCGACGACACCGACCAGGACACCATGCGCGACCAGCGCATGAACGGCGTCGCCTCGCAGCACCGCGACCGCCCCGTCGCGGAGACGCTGCAGATCTTCACCGAGGAGATGAAGAACGCCACGGCCGTGGGCGCCAAGCACTGCATCCGCGCCAAGATCTCCGTCGACGACAACAACAAGACCCTGCGCGACCCTGTCATCTACCGCGTCAACGTCGAGACCGCCCACCACCGCACCGGCACCACCTGGAAGATGTACCCGACGTACGACTTTGCCTGCCCCGTCATCGACAGCCACGAGGGCATCACGCACGCCATGCGCTCCACCGAGTACACCGACCGCAACGCCCAGTACCAGTGGTTCCTCACCACCCTGCAGCTGCGCCAGGTCCACATGTTTGACTTTGCCCGCATGAACTTTATCCGCACGTTCCTGTCCAAGCGCAAGCTGGCCAAGCTCGTCGACACCGGCCGCGTCTGGGGCTGGGACGACCCGCGCATGCCCACCATCCGCGGCGTGCGCCGCCGCGGCATGACCATCCCCGCCCTGCGCGACTTTATCCTCAAGCAGGGCCCCAGCCGCTCCGTCACCACCATGGAGTGGGGCGTCTTCTGGGCCGCCAACAAGAAGGAGATTGACCCCGTCGCGCCCCGCCACACCGTCGTGTCCGCCAAGGACGCCGTCAAGGTCACCGTCACCGGCGCCGACGCGCCCGCGGCGCCCCAGTCGGTCGAGAAGCCGCTGCATCCCAAGAACAAGGACGTCGGCACCAAGCAGGTCGTCTTCTCGTCCGAGATTTTGCTCGACCAGGCCGACGTCAAGCTCATGAAGGTCGGCGAGGAGATCACCCTCATGTCCTGGGGCAACGCCATTGTCAAGGACATCCAGGCCGGCGCGGATGGTGTCGTGACCGCCGCGACCGTCGAGCTGCACCTCGCCGGCGACGTCAAGAAGACGGAGAAGAAGGTGACCTGGCTGTCGACCGCCGGCCAGACGCTCCTCAAGGGCGAGGCGTGGGACTTTGATTACCTGCTGACCAAGAACACGCTGACCGAGGACGACGTGCTCGAGGACTGCCTGAACCCCGTGACCGCCACTGAGGAGGATGTGCTGGGCGGCGCCAACATGAAGGACCTCAAGAAGGACGACATCATCCAGCTCGAGCGCCGCGGCTTCTACCGGGTAGACAAGGGCCTGGGCGACTGGGCCGAGGGCCAGGCCGGCGAGAAGGGCGCGCGGATCGTCATGTTCCTGATTCCCAGCGGCAAGTCGACGTAGAGGGAAAACTGCGCCGTGTATGAGATGACGATGGTGGAAGACAAAATCAAAATGCAAAGCATGGCTTGTGGCCCGGGAGGATGGGGACCTATACAAAATTAAAAAATTCAATCCAAGGGCGTTAGTTAAATTGGGCGTGTAATTGTCGGCCGTGTCAGGGTATCGTGATAAAACTATGAACTGAAATCCAAACCAACCCAAAAATTCCAGCATCTAAAATCCGAATCCAAAATGCAAACCCAAATGCCAAACTTGCGAACCATTCTAACCGCTCTAAATACAATGAAATAACGGATGTATGCCAAAAAAGACTCAGTCAGGAAAGATGATAGACAATAGATTGGTGGGAGGCCCTCCTACTCCCCTGCTTTCTTTTCCTTGGACTCGGGCACCTGCGGCAGACGTACTTCGACCGGGCTCGCCGCCAGCGAAGTCGCAATCGACGGGCTGCTCGGACTACCCACATCATGGTGACCAACGTACTTGCGGGACGACGTGTTGAGGGCAGGGACCTGAGGGCGATGCGCAGCAACGGGCGACGTCTTCACGGTCCCGGTGTCTTTGCCCTTGGCAGGGCCTGACGACACGCTCGTCACAGCCTCGGCCGCCGTAACCGCCGGTGACGACACAGATATCGTCGGGCTGGCCACCATATGCGTGGGCGAGGACACCGTCACGGCCGCCACCATGGGATTCTCACGCTCCGTCGGCAGCGGGGAGAACGGCGACGGCACAGAGCGGCTGCCACCGCCAAAGCTCGTCCGCAGGACGGCCGGTGAAGGCGGTGCTATATTGTCGTTGCCGTGCACGCTGTACGTGTTGGAAGACCGGTAGTTGAAGTAGTCGTCGCCAATGCTGCTCTTGCGTCCACCGTCGACATTTGACGGCCGGCCATCCATCTCCATCGCCATCCCGCCAGCCACGCCCGCCTCGCCGGTCTCGGCGGCGTGCTCGCGCATGACGGCACGCACGTCGCGGTCGTGCTCGATCTGCTGCACGAGGTCGAGGTCCGTCGGCGCGACGGCACGGCGGACGCCGTTGATGATGAGCTCAAAGACCAGGACGGCCGCCAGCGCCAGGATCAGCGTGACCCACCAGATGCCTTGGCGGCCAAAGTCGTGCAAAAAGGTGCCGTGGACGAGGTAAGCGCTGGGCTTGGCGGCGTAGACGCCGGACAACAGGAGCGACCAAACGAACCAGCCACCCACGGACACCAACAAACCAACAGCTGAGATTATCGTCTGGTTGTGCATCTCCAGGACAAGCATTTTGATGTTGATCAGCATGATGCAGACCGAAAACGCCAGACTGCCCATGGCGTACAAACTCGTGTCACTTGTAAACAGCGTGGTGGTGTAGACGGCGTACAAGATGTAGAAGATGAGCAAGGCCTCGAGTACACCAGTGACCGTCCATCCGACGTACTTGCGGAAACAGAAGCCCAGATTGCGCTGTCCATACGTGTAGAGCTCGGGTACCGCGAGGAGCGTGTCGGCGCGCAGGTCCTTTTCAAAGATACCAAAGAGAATGACGGGAAGCGATGTGAAGAGCGTGTTGAAGACGGTCAGACTGGTAGACTCGTACAACGAGGTACCCGTGTAGCCGTTGTAGCGCTGGTACAAGGCCTGGACGAGGTAAAAGACCATCTCCTTCCAGAACGTGCCGAGAATGTACTTGCCGGTGCGCGCGTAGTTCCAGCGGCCGTGCACGAGAAGCAGGCGCTGCAGGAAGCGGAACTGGGCAATCGAGTAGTCCGAGATGCGCGCGGCCTGCAGGCCCTCGCGGCCCGAAATGCCAATGCCAACGTGCGAGGCCTGGATCATGGCAATGTCGTTCGCGCCGTCGCCAATGGCCAGCGTCATGGACGAGGGCACGCGCTGGCGAATGCACTTGACCAGCGTTGCTTTTTGCGAGGGCGACGCGCGACAGCAGATGACCGAGTCGACGCGGGCCACGAGGTCGAAAAACAGAATCCGCATCTCCTCCTGGGCCTCAACGACACTGAGCGTGTGGCCGTCAATGACAACGACAGAGTGCGGCGTCATACCGCGGCCGACGTCGACGAGCGTCGACGCGATCCGCTCCTGCAGGTTGTCCTGGTCAATTAAGGCGTCAAGCACATAAATCTCCGAGAAGGGCTTGCAGATACGGGCGGCATGCGCAATGTTGATGGCGGTCTCGCGCTTGTCTCCCGTCAGCATCCAGATCTTAATGTTGGCACGGCGCATCTTGTCGATCGTCTCGGGCACACCCTGCTGCAGCTTGTCCTCGATGGCCGTGGCACCGGCCAGGTCGAACCCTTGCTCGATCAGATCGGCGGCGGCCTCGATGCGTTCCTGGCGGTTGACCAGCGACGTGGTGGCGTCCTGGTACAGCGTGCGCCACTTGCGGTAGTCGTCCTCCTCGACGTAGCGGTAGGCAAAGAGCAGCGTGCGCAGGCCCTCGGAGGCAAAGTCGTCAATGTGCTGGAAGCAGCGCTCAAACACGGCGCCTTCGTTGATGGCAATGGACTCGTCGACCATGCCGCTGTACGGGTCGGCATAAAGACTCTCCGCTGCCGCCACGGCGGCAATGCTGCTGTCATGCGACCACTGGCGCTGCTGTTGGCTCAGACCGCCACCGGGGCGACGGCTTCCCTCTCCACTGCCACCGTTGGACGAGCTGCCGGCGAGCACGTCGTCGACAATGTCCAGGTCCTCGCGCTCACGGCGCCGCAGCCAGTCGTCTATGTCGCCCGAGATCACAGCCGAGCGGCGGTGGGCATTGTCCACCGACTTCTTGCCGGTGCTGAGGCGCGGCAGGTTGCGGAACTGGTGCATGGACGCGGCGCGGACGAGGTTCATGCTGGAACGGGGCGTGGACATGCCGCCATTCCCGCCATTGCCGCCGCCGTTGATGCTGATCGTCGTGCTCCTGCGCATCATGGCGCGCTCCTGCTCGACACTCTTGCGCTTGCTGGCACGGCGCTCGACAGCACTGGCCTTGGCCAGGGCCATGTGGTTGAGCTTGAGGCGTGGCAAGATGACGCTGTCGGCGCCCTTGCAGAACATGCAGATGCGGCCGTCGGGCATGCGGATGACGATTGTCATGCGCTTGCGCTTGCTGCTGAACTCGATGACGTCCAAGACTTGGTAGGTCTCGGTGACGGACGAGCCGTCGAGCTGGTGAAACTGCAGCTTGATGGATTGACCCGGGCGGTCAATGAGCAGGTAACCGAGGTCGCGTGCGGCCTGAACAAGGGCCAGCTCGTCGGGAGACGCCGCCTGAAAGTCGATCTCGCCACTGGCGGTCTTCTCTGGGATACAGGTGTGGCAGAGGGCGATGCACAGGATAAAGTGGCGTGCCTTGCGGGAAAATGCCGTATGAGGGCGGCGTCGGATGTACTGGATGAGGTCCTCCGTCTTCAATTCGTGCTGCGGGCGGGATGGACGTGCGGTCGACCGCCAGGCTGAAGACATGGAACGGCGCGGAGCCTCAAACTCAATCGCGGTCGAGTTGCGAGGGTTGGTGGTGGGCACCTCGCTCACAAAGGACGGTGTCCCAGGTGACTTGGGAATCGGCAGGTGGGCGTTGGAAGGCGAGGGCGAAGAAGACAGCCGACCAGGCGACATGGGCTGCTCGTACGGCTGCTGCTGCGACTGCTTGCCTTCCACCTTGCTAGGCCGGTGGCGGCTCGAGGACCGGGCACGCTTGCTCTTCTTGCCCCGGTGCCGCAGCTGCCGCCGCTTGCGTTCCTTCTCGTCCTCGTCGCGGGCAATGTCCATGTCATGCAGCCAGGCCGTTCCGGCAACGCTCATCTTGCGGAAGCGCATCTTGTTCTCGGTCAGGGTGCCGGTCTTGTCCGAAAAGATGTAGCTGACCTGGCCGAGGTTCTCAAGGATGGTCGTCGTGTTGGCAACAAAGGCTGTGTCGGTGTCCGGGTCGTACATCTCCGTGTCGGCAAGCAGGTACAGCTGGCCAATCTTGATGATTTCCAGGCTAACGTACAGCGAGAGCGGAATGAGCGTGTTGAACATGATGATGAACGCGAACAAGATCTGGCTGAGCGGCAGGTTGGCGCCGGCCAAGTACCAGGCATGGTCTGCAAAGTTCGAGACCCAGATGCCGTTGCCGACGGAGCAACCGACAGATAGCAGAACAACAAATATGACTAGCAGGATGACGATGCGGTTGACAACGGACTGCATGGCGGGGGCCTTGGCGCGCTTGTGGCGGTGGGCATTCATGCGGATCTTGCACTCCTCGCCAGAGTTGACCACGAGGCCAATCATGTCCGCCGTGTTGCGCACAACTGAGCCACGGAAGACAACCTGGTTGAGGGTCAGCGGCATCGCCTCGCCGTTGACCAGGACACGGCCTTCGTAGTTGTAGAGATCCAGGTTGGGGTCTTCGGACACAATCTCGGCACCACAAGCGGCCATGCCGGCAAGCGACTCACAATGCTCGGAGAGCAACGCGCAGGCCTGCTTCGTCTTCAAGTTGGTCTCGCCATCGAGAGCCATGGTCTCAATGTAGGCGATGCCGTTGGGGCCAGAGGCGTGCAGAACAATCATATCGGCTGGGACAGGGTCGTCACGGCGCAGGCGCACAACGTCACCTACACGCAGTTCCTGCCATTGCACGGCCGACCAGGGCATGCGGCCGATAGCACTATTGTCCTCGTCTGCGCGCGGACATTCGCCTGAGTTCGATTGGACGCGATCGAGGTCGGCAGCGACGTTGGCTGATGTGACTGTACTGAGGGGGACGCTGCCGGCGTCGACGGCGCCAATCACACCGATCCCACCAGCCTCATCCGCATCATTGGTGCCGGTAGCAGTGACCGTTTGGCGGGCAGACTTGGTCCACCTCTGTGGCCGGAATTTGTGCCAGGTGTTGTCATTTTTTGATTTCTCGCTAGCAGCGGCCTGCACAGTACGGCCCGGGTCCAGGACATATGCCGTGCTGCGGTTCTCCACCCGGTCGAGGCGGTAACGGCGGTAGTCGTCATAGCCCTCTTTGAACATACTGATGGCGACGAAGAACAGCAGGGGCGCAATGGTGGTGTAGGTGCCGGTCGAACTCAGGCCGGGGATCATCTGCAGGATGGAGATGATAAGAAAATAAAAGTTGGCTAGCTTCATGAACTGGAAGACAAGCTGCTTGGGCAAGAAGTTCCAGACAGTGTATCGGCTCGAGCGAATAAAGTTGGAGATGTATGGCTTGCCGGAGCGTTCGTCGGTGTAGGGTGTGGTGCGAACGTGGCCCGGGTCCAGCTGAATGTGGCGGCCGTCGACGCTCGGCGGCAAGGGACGCTGGCGGAGCAGGCCCTCGATAATGTATTTTCGGTACATGCCGGCGGTCCTGCTCTTGAAACGATAGTATGGGCCGGTAGTCCATCGTCGCTGGCGCTCACGCTGGCGGTCCAGCCAGTCTCGGTAGTGGGCCAAAGTATCGCTCGCGTCGGTGACACGGGTGTTGGTCGAAGACGACACGGCCGAGGCCTTGACAGGCCCGTCAAAGCTCTCACCGTCAGTCAGGCCCAGACGCCTGCGTGTGATGGAAGTCCGTGGCGGCTCGACAAAGCTGACGCCGCTCCGTCGTCCCAGCTGGACGGCTGGTGATTGAAGCTGCCCATCGCCATTCTCAGGTAATCGCCGCCGTACCTGGGGCGATACCAAGGTGGCCGCTGAGGAGCCGTCGTCTCGCACAGGCGAGGTAATAATTGCCAGAGCGCCGCCTTTGCCTGCCCCTTTCATTGCAGCTGCGCCGTCTGCGCCGTTGGCTGTTGGAGCCGGGCCTTCAACATTGGACTGGATCGTGTATAGATTCGTGTTCAATCGTAACGACGGAGGGTTCTGTTGGGAGGAGGAGGAGGAGGCGGCGGCGGCGGGTGGAAATCGAGCTGCAAGAGCAGAAGACGAAGAGGGCGAGAGAGAAGTATGGTTGTCTGTGTGCCGCAGCGCCGATCGTGGTGTCGAAGTCGGTTGCGTGGCTAATGGTGGAAGGGTAGGCTGTACAGGTTGTGACGACTGTGTCGGCGATTGCGCTTGCGACTGGGAGTGCTGCCGCTCGTCGTTATTCGGCTGATCCCGCAGCGTCGTGTCACGAAGAATGTCTTCGGAGAAGCGAATGCGTGCTGCAATGGCCGCGGCGTCGGCAGCAGCCGCGTCGTCGGCGCTGCGGCGGCCCGCCATGGCGGTCTGTTGTTGACGCAGCCGCGGCGGTTGTCGTCCGTGTCAGCGAAAGCACGATGTGTCACAACAATCGCAGTCCGGGCAGGGTCGATTGACGTCCGAGTAGCGCTCGATGCGAGGGTGTAATAGTCGGTCGTATCGCGAATAAGGTGCCGAGAAAACGGTTCGACGTCGTCTCTCGTCCGAACTGAAAAAAACGAGAGGCACGCACGCAGACAAAAGGCGGCGAGGAAATGGGGGCACAACAACACAATAGAAACAGATGCTTAGGCAACGTGTGTTGCACGAACATCGCCCGTTGTTGATGCAGGGAGAATGCAGGCACAAAGAATGCAGAGAACGGGCTGCGGAGATGCCAAGACCAAGAATGAAGAAATGCGGAAACGAAGTTGACAGTGTGGGATAGCGCTGCAAAAAGTCGCTGTGAGACAAGGACAAAAGGAGGAGACGCAACGCCCGAGAACGGAACTTGCCTCTTTCGTCTCGCCCGTGCCCCGTTTTTTGGAGTGAAAAGCGAAACGTAAAAGTGAGAGACAATCCAAGACAAGGCCAGCCAGGCTGCAAATGCAAAAGAATGCGTTGGAGGTGCAGGGCCAGGCTGTTTTGGTATTGGTTCCAGGGTCGTAAGCGGCCGCGGTCGAAAGGGGAAGGAGACGTCGAAAAGGAACGAAGATGCCTGCATACAGTGTGGATGCTGAAGGAGACCGGATTAGCGGCTGATTGATGGCTGCGCCTCTGCGTTAATGCACTGTCTTTCTAAATTCAGGTCTCGGAGGGATTGGACACGAGGTCGGCCACTGGGGCTGATTGGGCTAGGCTCGTCTCGTTCTTTGTTGCTCGACTTATTCGATTTTGTTGGGTTCCATAAGAGTAAGAGCGGGGCTAGCCAGGCGGGTGAAGCAGAATTTGAAAGTCAACACCTTGACCGGGCTGTTTCGCCCCCTTGTTCTTGACTTGATTCAATTATGCTTGCTTGAAGAGGTAGGTCCAGAACCAACAGATTCTCCGATGCATCAAGCCATGCACTTTGCTTTACGACGAGTGCGTCGTACGTCGCAGATGTAAATGTCGAAAGGTCGGTCGTCCACAATCACAAATGTCCAGAAGTGGTCGTCACCTTGGCTGTGACAGCGGAAACAGATACTTGATCGGGAATCGTGGTCAGAAGTAGCCGGACAAGGAGGGCGAAGAGGACCAGCAGTGAGATCGCGCAGACAAGCACAAAGGCCAAGCGGGCAGGCGGTCTGCTGGGAGGCGTTGTCAAGGTCGCCTCAGCCGGGCTGAATGTTGTCTCGCTCGAGTGTCTCGGTTCTCTGGACTCTCTGGTCAGCCTGCGTTGTCTCTTGCTACTGCTGCGGCTCGCAGGTTCGAGAGGGACTGACTCGTAGGACGGAAGCACGTTGTTGGCGTTCTGCCGGACGCCGGATGCCATTCTTTGGCAGATGCTCCGTGGCACGAAGTGACGTTTGTTGATGGAATTGGAGATGGACAATAAGGGGTCGACAAGGCTGAAGAAGGGAATCGTGGCATATCAACGCGGAAAGAGCTCGACACGCACAACAATGCACATGGCATGCACGGAGGACTCCTTCCTTTTATGAACTGCAGTCACTGGGAAGCAGTAGATGGAGCAGGTGCGATTCGGGTGCGATCTTCAAGCGCCGCCCTCGCTCTTACCATTTCTGGTATTCTCTGTCGTCTGTTTCCTACTCTAAAGCATCCGCATCCGTGCAATTGCGCGTTCTCTGTATGATTCCATAAAATTTGGTCCATCTTGCTTAGGGAGATTTGCCAAGAACGCAGACCAGACGACGCGGTGCATATCCTGTTCCGCGTTGCTTTTTTTGGTTAATCTTGGTGTCCGAAGATGGACATCGGAAGTGAATTACACTGTCAAAATCGCCGTCCGCAGTGCGATTCCGGCACAGACGGACTTTCAATTGAGGCTCAACACGCCGATTGGTCTATCCGCAGTGCGGCCCGAAAGACTGCCGATGCCAAGAGACCTCAGGGCGCGACAACCCATCGGCCGGCAACGAGCTTGAGACGGAGGTGTGTAGGACGGTTGGATTGGTAAGGCGGTGCAGAAAATGTGTAGAACCTTGCGTTTTTAGGCGCGTTCGTATGTCGTTTCTTACTTTTATTTCTTTTTTGCGCTTTTTTTACCGAGATGACATGTTACAGAAACTTGTAATCTTTTGTTCCGTTCTAAATTATAATGTAGCTTCCCGGCACTATGCCTGTTGGCTTATGAGGAAACCTCTATTGATTACCTTGTTGTGGCGGCACATTCGTAAATCCTGTTCACGATGTTTCATTCGACGGTTCCACTTCTGCCTGTCGTGTTTGCATGTTCGTCCTGCAGTGGTTCTCAAAAAATGAGGCGGCGCAGCATGGTCGGGCCCTTCCAAAGCTTCTGGATACATGACTCTTTCATGTCCGTGCTCATCCATACGGGCGTATCCTACAGCACGGCACAGAGTCTGCGCCCGTTCGCGAGCTATGCCAGTTATCAATGGGCAATATGGCCGAGCTGACATTTACAAAAATAGATCTTCGGTACAGCTGGCAGGTACTCCGTACGCCGTAAGCTGTCGTTCGCCTCAAACAAACGTTACAAAGCCACGCCGAAATGTCGCTGCCTAGCGAAGCATCATCAACAGTATTCCCAGCTCGTGTCTATCAAACCAGCCAAGGAACCGTCACAAAACTACCATGACTTGGTCCGGAGCTGGAAGCAAAAGTGAAAACTCCTACTCCAGCCAAAGCGACGTCATCAGCGTTGCATCACAATTCATTGAACCAGAACCAAGATCTGCAGGGATGGCTGCGAGGAATGAAGACAGTTTAGATCAACAAAGAACACGCATTTTATGGGTTAATAAAATTGCAAACGTAAGCAAATACCTAGTCACATTGAAAAAAAAAAATGAAATAAAATAATAAAATAAAATAAAAGACGAAACAAAAAAAAAAGAAAGCGAGACTACTAAAAGTCAACATGAAAAAAATGGACGGGCTGGGAATCGAACCCAGGACCTTTCGCAGATTCGAAGGCCGTAGTGCTTATACCACTAAACCATGCGAAGCGAACGTTATACCCCTAAACCACACGCCCTTGCTGATTGTTGAAAGACTGAGGTGGTTTAGATCTTATATAGCCAGGCATGTCGTTTCTCAACCCACAACTTGTTTTGCACTGTGCGGACTCCACTCCACACGAAAGGCCTCCACTGCGCCAAAGTGAGGCAAGAGAACATCGACAGAATGACAGAAAAAAGCAGCCACAAGGCACTAAAGTAGCAAAAGGTTCGGCGTGGCAACGAGACCAAAATAGAAACAGGCGATCAGCGACCAGCAAATTGTAGGCGAACAAGTGCAGAAAGAGAGGGAGATAGAGAGGCAAAAAGAGGCTGTTCGCAATAAAACCTGCACTCAGACGGTACAATGGAGGCGGCCGTATAAACGTCACATTTGCTAGGCTGCTCCATGGCATAAGAAAATGTACAAATCTCCAGGGATCTCATCTGAAGGGACCAGAAACGGGGCCAAAAAAGCGTCGAGCAAAAAAAGGACAACGCAATGACCATTTCTCGTCATCTACGGATTTTGCAAGGCAATGTGAAGTCGACATACAAAAACGCCGGCCAACCGCGCAGACTCATTTATGCGGAATGGAAGAGTGCCACGAGTGCGTAGCGGCAGCACAAAGCACCATTGCAATTGTCCGTTGGACGGCATTTATCCAGGTCCCTTCATTTCGCCATTCTTTTGCGTTTCTAGAATATTGCCCTTTCTCCACAAAGCCCAAGGGCTGCATTTGTGCTGTGCCGTCCCTGTGTCCAATGTTACCAGATAGAGTGCTTCACATAGTGCCAACAGTCCGGGGCGTCCGTGTCATATGCCACACCAGATATTGACGCGGCTGTGGACATGGGGCAAAGCATCGCCCTGCCTCCATTATGACTACGGAACGGCCAAAATACCAGCGCAAAATACATAAAATATTGCGGCGTATGATTTATATGATATGCAAACACACCACGCCAATGATCGAATTTAGGGAAGCGAGGCCGTGCCGTTTTTTTGTGCCGTGATATTAAGAAAGGTAGCCGCGGCGTGTCTTTATACAAAGTATTAATACGCGAATGGCCTAGAATGCACTTCATACGTGTGCCCCTATTCATAGTTGAAACAAGAGCGTTCGTCGTTGGATACGCTCTTGCTAAAAGCAACATCTGTATCGCAATCTACAAAACAGAGGACAGGCCATTTAAAACTTTTGTATCGTACTAGGTAAAAGAACATCCAGGATAACTAGCAGGATAAACAAAATGTGTAACAAACCAAAAACCAAACTCCTTCACAAAACAGTTCGCTGAGATACACACAAAAGAAGAATGAAGAAAAATGGGAAACAAAAGACACAAGGCAAAAGATACGTCTTGGCTCCAATGTGTCGTTCCCTTGGGGAAATAGAAAACAGTAAACATCCAAGAGCGGTAATATTAAAACAAGCAATACCTCAACAGTAAAAAACCCGAGCCACCTGGGCCATTTTTCTCCATCCTTCCATGATACCCATCTCCCCGCCCCAATTCACACATTCCCCTCGTCCTGCTATTCTTCCAAACAGCAGAACGAAAATCGAGGAATAAAAAAAAAATGCCGGCCAATGGCGATGGTCAACAGCCATCTCATCGGGTATTAAGTGGTGCGCCAACCGGAAAGTTCTGGCTTAGGACGTTCAAGGGACATTAGAGAACTCCAAGCCCAAAAAAAAAAAAAAAAAAAAAAAAAAAAAAAAAAAAATCAAAAAAAATCGAATAGTCAAAAGGACACTGTAGGTATAGAAACCCTATTAAATCAAAAATAGACGAACAGAAATATGCAGGCGGAGCGGTCAAAAACGGATGAGAAGGGTAAGAGCGAGGGGAAAAGAAACCAAAACAGAAAAAGAAATAAAGCTAAAAAAAAAAGTATATGTACGATCGCTGTGCCCAGACATGCATGATCGAGATCCGAATGTAGGTTATCGTCATGCAGATTCGTGGCGGACAAAGAAAAATGATAAGATAGGAAATAGTTTGGTCAAAAGGAATGACTTGTCTTGCCAATCGTCTGCCTTGGGGAACAGAGCAAGAGGACAAAACGTAATAATAATAGAGTGGTTGATGATTGGGCGGTAGGGGCGAAGAGAGAGCAACAATAAAACGCCGGTCTCGACAAGAGACGAACAAATACGCAACCTGCGGGTATATGAACGTAAACGAAGCTGAAAAAGAAGCAGTATGCAATAAGAAAACAGAAAACGCTGCCAAGTATATTAGGTAGGATGTCTCCCACAGTAGCTGAAACAAAGGTCGATAATTCACCCAAAACTTGTGAATCATGGCGTTCGTTTCTCATGCTGCTGCCGAATGAGGAGGCAGGCTCTCGGGAGACAGACTGGCGGCGTCAACTGGGTCAAATTGCACAAGCTGGCTCATATCCAGCTCGGCTTGGTTGTCCGTATACTGGCCGGGCGAATGCGGGTGCAGCGGGAGGTTGATCGAGTGCTTCGAGTACATGTCGTTGAGGTTGCCTCCGTCGTCCGAAATGGCCGAAGAGTCGCCACCGCCGTTCAGCGGGTGGTAGATGTCAGCCGATGCGCTGCGGCCCATCATCGTCATAGGCGGTGACTGGTCGACAATAGCAGGATCGGAACGGCCAGCAAAGGACAGCGGTGACACCGACGGCGGCGGAACCATGCTCTGGGCGCCCATCATGGGCGACAGGAAAGTGGTGCCGTACGGCGTGTTGTAGCTCGAGGCTGGCAGGCCAGCGTTGTCACCACCCGGCGGAGCGAAAAAGTTGGGGCTTGAGCCGTATTCGGAAGGCGAGGGCGCTGTCGTGGCCGACATGGGGTACTGGCGCATGTCGAGGCCGAAGCCGGCCTGCGTGTCGATCCGCAGGTTGGAGCCCGCAGGGCTCAGGCCGTTGGGGTTCTGCGGCACGGGCGCATAAATGCTGGGGCTGTGCGGCTGCGGCTGCGTCTCGCCGGGATGCTGGATGTAGAACGACGGCATCGGGGCCTGCAGCATTGAGAAGTCAATAGCCATGGGAACCGACCGAGACCGCTGCCGTTTGTGACCGGGGCCCGACCGCATGCCACCAGCAGAGTGCATGGCGTTGATGCCCCATTGCGACTCCTGGAACACGCCCACATGGGGCTGCAGGAAGTTGGGCTGCGATGACGGACGCCCGGTGGGCGAGACGGGTGCCGAGACGGACAGGTTGTGAGCGGCCGCGTCCAGCGGGATGGGAGCGACGAGGGGAACAATGGGGCCACCGGGTGTCGTGGCGGCAGCAGACGCAGCGGCGGCAGCAGCAGCGGCAGCAATGTTGTGAGGGTTATGAGGGCTGTGGCGGGTCATAAAGGTCTCGAGCGAGATGAGCTTGGCCAACTGGCCACTCAGAACCTTGGGGTTGCCGCCGAGCTGATGCACAAGGCACTGGGACGCCTGCTGGTTCTCGGTGAAGTCACCGCAGACACTAAAGCCGCTGCCGTTCGGGGTGCAGTCCATCATAAAGGTGGGCGGCTGATTCAGCTCGATGACGATACCGCCGGACTTGTTTGGGTCCTCCTCCTGGTCAAGGTAGATATGCTTGATGTACGAAAACGGGTACTCGATCTTGTAGCCGGCGTTCTCATTGTTGATGTAGTACGTCATAGTGCCGTTGTGGGGAGAGTAGAAGATGATCAGGTCCATGGTGTTCTGACCAACGCGAACCCACTTGCCAATGCTCAGAGACCGGCATGTGAGATGGTGGATCACTGAAGCGAGACGTCAAGTGTTAGAACACCGTCGCGCGTTAAAAATAGGGGTAGCGTTAAAAAAAAAGTCAACATACAAAGTTTGCCCTGGTTAGCGTGCTCCCCACCAAGGAGCATACCGGGACCATAGCCCATCAGGCCGGTGCGGCCGTAGAAAGCACCACCGAGGCCCTTGCCGCTCTCGGCAGCCTGCATGGCCAGATAAGCACGCATCGACTCGGGAATGAGATCAATGTCCTCGCCAGTCTCGATGCTCTTCTTCGCGAGCAACTTGATCTTAGCACGGCTGTGTTGACTAGTTAGCGGTATGCTCCGGATTGATCATTGGCTTAGGAAATGCGTGGTAGACTGCTGTCAACGTACCGGTTCTGGAACCAGATCTGGACAGACCTTTCGGTCATGTTGATCTGCTCCGCGATCGCGTTCCGCGTCTCGGCGTTGGGGGTGGGATTCTTGTTAAATTCCAACTCCAGCGTCGTCAGCTGATCTTGAGTAGCCCGCTGCCGCTTCTGGTTCTTCTGCTGCTGCGTCAGCGTGCTCTTGCGAGCAGGACGTTTCGAAGAAGAGGCGCTTTGGCTGGTTGCGGATGCCGACGGCGAAGGAGTCTGAGAGCTCTTGGTCGTGATGGCAGAGTTGGGAGTTGGCATGGGCGCGGCGCAGGAGGACTGGTTAGGCGTAGAAACCTTGAGGTTCATGTTCATAGGGGGTTGCATCGGGGCAGACTGGCCCATGTCATGGCCCACAGACAGAGGCATCATCATGCCTGGATGCACCGGCATCTCAACCTTGATGTCAGTCGCCATTTCGGGAGACTGTGGTGGAAGCTGGCAGATCAGGGTCTTTTGTCTTTCGTAGTTAATCAAATTGCCAAGATGGTGTACGCGTCGTCGAAAGCAAAGGAGAGGCGAAAAGCTCCTTGATTAGGCGGTGGGTTGTCGAGAACGAGGGACGTTTGACTTGGTTGCGTGTATCTCTGCAGCGAAAGTTGGATTTGCTTGGCAGAACACGACGTCGGGGGGGAGGCAAATGATAGGTTGAGGAGAGTTCGATGTGTCTTTCGTGTAGATAGGGATTGGTCGATTGGATACCGGAATGTCGAAGCAAGAAAAGAGCGCCGACAATAGTTAACAAAATGTTGCAAATGAGTGTGGTCCTGTTTCCTCCCGAGTTGGTGATGGAACTGGGGAAGTGTTTTGAGGACGAGATAGAAATCTCTTATGATAAAGAATAGATCGATAGCACAAGTAACTGCTAGAAGAAAAGGCCGTTCACCAAAAAGAGAGGTGGTGGACGAAATAAAGTTGGATCTCAAGCCGAAAGAATGTAGTGGAATAGATGCCGAAATGAGCGGATGGATGGGGGGTCAAGCGAGAGTCCTGGGCTGAAAAAAAACGATGGGATTTACATATAAGAGAACGACTGTGGTGAGAACAAATGAATGTGTGATAAATGAGCGAACGAAAAGAAAAGCAAGAAAAGAAAGACACAACAAAGAGAGTGAGAGAGATATGTCGACAGGAACGACCACGATGGATGAGGAAAGGAGAGGGGAAGAAGAAAGAAAGAGAAAAAAGGGAAAGGAAAAGACAAGAAGGAGAAGAGAGACGAAAAGGATAGGGATGGGATAAGGGAAACGGGGCGCCACAAAAACGAAAACCCTGAAGGGGGGGTCCCAGCAAACAACCAGCCTGGTCGACTGTCGACAGAGAATAGGAGCCAGCAAAAGAGCCGACCAACCTTCAGACTGGCAGACACAAGTCGAAGGGAGGGATGGGATCTTGGGGGGTGGGGGCGTGTGAGCGCTGGTCTTGGTCGAGGGGGTGGACAGGCAAAAGGGAAAAGGGGAAAAGGGAAAAGACGGAGAAAGTGGGCCGGTCGTTCGAAAGGGCGGCTCCCACTGGACAGACACCTCCACCAGATGCGTTGCATCGAACACGAAAGCAGCACGGAAAGGCAAAGCAGATTTCCACTAGGAAAGATTTAAGACGTCGTGCTCAAGTGCGACCGTGAGCCAGAGAAAGTATTCCATCGCGCTGACAGGCAGCAGTGACGGGGTCATGATCGTCCAAGATGTCGGACGAAGGAAACGAAGAGAGAAAACAAACAGTTCACGAAACTGAGCCTTGTCTGACGCTGAGGCTTGCCCAAACACTCTCCTTTTCTCCATCCCACAAAGAAACAGGAACACGACAAGCAGCGGTGCTCGTTGGTGGGTCGAACCAGCAGGCCAGGCATCTACTGCCGTGTTCCTATTTCTGTCTCTGTCTCGCCCTGCTCCTTTCCCCTTGTCCCGCACTATCACCGACGTTGTAGTTGTTGGCACGGCTTTCTGCAGTCGCCCTTTCCACACCTGTGCTTGTTTGGCCCTGGCTTGGCGGCAGTCTATTCACCCCCCAGCAGAGGTGTGAGATGTCCGTGAGACGCAGACTCCTGTCAGGTGCAGCAACGTGCAGACCGTCTGCAACGCGTTGTACTAGACACCACTTGTGTTCCTGCGTCGTTCCTGCAGTAGGCAATTCCTGCTGCATGAGTGGGTGGGAATACGGAGCCATATTCCGCGCTCCGTACATCGTTACCCGGTACGAGAAGCGTGTGCAAACAGCGGTGTTGAAGATTCAAAACGGAGTCAGTGGCCAGCGTCAACGGCGGCAAGAAGTCGTCTCGCCCAGAAGCAGCTCGCTGTGCGTCCCGCACCATCTGCACAGACTCTCAGTGGTGGTGCTCCTCAGTCAACGACAAAGGTTCCGTTCTGTTCCTGGCTAACGAACAGCGCTACTAGATAGTGGCCAACGTTCGGTCGGTCGCGTCCTTGGTGGGAATCGAATGTTGCCCAGACCTTTCCGTAAAAGGAAAGGCTCCAAAGCCCTGCTCCCTACAAAACGGATCAGACGCTCACCCGACAGGAGCTGGGCGCCTTTCAACAGACCGACAGCCGTGCCACTTCAGCGAGCATAGAAGGGTTTGCCACCCAAAATACCCACCGGAGTAGGACAGGGGCATCACTCTGTGAGTTTCGTTTTCTTGGTTCTGTCTCGATTCTGGTTCGTTCGTGTTCTCCGCCGTTTTGTGTACCTGCATTGGCCGTTCCTACGGCGTAAATTCCGACCAACCAACTGTCTCCATCACCAAGCACCTGTCGTCAAGGCTGCACAAGCAAATCCTGGTTTCCGTTCCTTGTCAGACAGCGGCCCTCCAAACTCGCATTTTGACTGGGCCCTCGGCTGGCCTTGTTTTGTGGTCAGTCTTGTAACTCTTGTTCCTGTGCTCTGTCCTGTGGCGCGTCGTGTTGGTCGTGCCTGCACTGAGGCGCGTGCATTGTATTTTGTGCTCTTCAGTCCAAAGTACCCGCCTGTCGTCGCTTTTACCTGACCGCCGACTGGCCCTACCACACCATCTGCTGCAACGTTGGGCCGTCCTTTCTTGCTTTCTGGTTGGTGAGACGGGTAGAGTTGGTGTGGTCAGCATACCATCCCTTCACACCCACTTCTCCTGTGCACCTTTGGGATGCAGAGTCGTGAGGAACGAATGGCGAATCAAGGAGGGACGAACAGGCCAAGCTATGTTCAGCACATGACGTTCGTCAGGACATTGTCCTGGGTGATGTTGGGCGGTGCGGCTTTTGTGTTGTTTCGTCCCATTATTTCTTTATTTTTGTTCTTCCCCTTATCGTGGCGTGCGTGAGTATTGCATAGTTTGTGGGCAATCAGTACCAGAAAACGCACAGCGATCGCGGCAAAACAAAAGGGGGCATGCACCGGACGAAAAGGGGTAGCAAAAGGCTAAACGGGGATGTGCCCACCAAACTTCCCATTGGCTCGCAACAGCACCTCAAAGTCACTGACTCCGCAGCCAGCAATGCGGCGAGACTCGTTTTCTCTGAGTTCTGGAATAGAAGAATAAGAAAGGTACAAAAGGAAAAAGAAAAGGCAGCAATATGAGACTGGCTGAGAGAGTCCCAGAATGAGGCTGAGTATCTTACCTGCTTGTTGTTTCGTGGACAAAACGCCGAGATCTGTGTTAGTTATGCGTGCACCTTGCACCAGCGGGTAACTTGCGACGAACGAGGCAGTGTTTTGCTTGTCTTCTGGAGGAAACGGAGCACATCTCGTCGTCTAAGTTCTGTACAGACACATTACCAGTGTCATGCAAGTATCGGGACGTTCGATCCACCGTCACGCTGCCCAAACCTAACGTCATGCCCACTGATTTGCAAAACACAAAGATTGTCAACTGTTGCCTTTACCTTCGCGCTTTGTGACCAGAACAAGGGGTGCCATGCGAGGGATCCTCCTGTCCCCTCTGAAAACACAGGAACCTTTTCCGCATGGGGGACCTGTTTCTGCTGGTGTCCTGCAAGGTATTACGACATATGTGTAAATCGTACAGCCCGGTTAAAGCTGGCCAGAGCAGCGGCACGCCCTCTGTGCCCCTGGGATCCTTGGCAGCTTTTCTTCCTGTTTAGGACTAGCACCGAACAAGCGGCCTGCAGTCCCCTGCACTAGGCGGACGTGTGGGAAGCCAGCTGACCTTAGCCACACAGTCACGTCAAGGCATGACGGCGCGGTATTCTGTACAACGAACAGCAATCGACGGACCGTCGAACAACAGGTTCCTCGTCAGTTGAGCATCCGATCCGCGAGGACGACTCTGTCCGGTCTTTTTATCTTGCCATTCGCAATGCGGTTCACCGGCTTCGTCGATATTCGCTTTCTCCCAGTCTGCTCCGCGACGAGTCACGTATGACTTCGCATGCTTTTTCGTCTTCTCCACTTGATGGGCACACTCGGGCAAGACAGGGTTCTGGTCGAATGGTGGGTGGATTGGCAGGCGGCGCCTGAACTTGCCCAGCACAGAGTGATGGCGAGACACGAAAAAAACCGTTTGCCAGTACGCCGTACACAAAGAGACGAAGTAGAGTAAATGGGCGAATGCTTTGGAGCGCCTAGTCATTCTGGCACCTCTTATCCTGTTCTTTTATCCGTGTGCAGGACGCCGGGCCAGGGTCCAGTGTACCTATGATGCGGCCACCGAGACAACAGACTGAGATCGCGAGCCCAAAGGGAGATCAGAGAGATGTTGGCGCCAAAAAAAGGGAAAGGCAAAAGGCGAAAAGGCGGGCCAGGGGTGCTTGTGGTATGTGACTACTCAGTATCTTACTTCGTAGTCTCGCCGGCCATTTTGTTTCATGGATTTTGTGTTTCGCAGTGCCTTTGCAGGTTTCTTCTTCGTATGCCTCTCGTGCTTCTGTTTTCCTTGTGTCTCTTTGCATCCGCGCCTTGTATCGTTTCATGCACGCCTCTGCTTGGGCTCTGGTTGGCCTTTGGTTGCCAGTTGGTGTTGCGGTGCTGCTCTTTGCATCATACCACGTCCGCATGTGTCTCGTTTCTCCCTGCATCACCAAACTCATGTTAGAACAATGCGGTGCCCAGTTCGTCGTCGCATTTGGTTTCTTCCATTCAATGCGTGGCCCACTGAGTCAGCCGGAGAGGGCAGTCCGCTCCGATCTCCTGACCTGTCCTGCCCTGGTCTGGCCTGGCCAGGCCCTTGTGCGAATCTGGCGGAGCACGGAGTGGTATCCTCCTTGTGAAAACGGGGGCAAAGGGGAGGGAAAGGGAAAGGGACTGGATAGGGTGGGACTTGCTCCTTCGTTGGTACCCACCATTCCTCACGCCTGACTGGTCCTTTTTTGTTCGTCTTTGTATCGCCTTCTCAATGTCCGCTTCCACCCTGTTATCGTATGTCACCCTTGTGCCCGAGTTGACTTCCAAACACTCCTGAAGGCGGAAACAGGAGCAGACCGAAA